GTACCATCTAAAATACAAAGACAAGTAGTTTTATTGATATTTATCAGCATTTTCTAAACACAATTTAATAGCAGTTAAATATAATAATTTATCTACTGGCACAGGAAAATTTTCTGATGAATCCGAATTAGTTGATTGTTGTATTTCTAATTGAATTTGTGAATATAAACGAGTAAGTTCATCTGATGTTAAAAGACGACATGATGCATAATATTCACATAATGTTAATAATTGTGTTGCTGATAAATAACCAATTGAAGCTGCTTCACAACGACTATTTAATTCTTTTGCAATTAAAATATTTTTTTCCATTGATTGACGAGTTAAATCAATTAATTGTTCTGTTGTATATTTAGTATATTTTCGACTATTTGAAAAATTTGATGTTTGTCGTTCAGAAGTTTGAATACGATTAAATAAATTATCTTCGAATAATAAAACTTCCGTTGGAATATAATCAACTTGTGTTATAGTAGATGATTGATCGATTAACATTAAATCATCATTTTGTATTGTTGATGTCAATTGTAATTGATTTCTTTTTTTTGATATTCTTGATTTCTTTTTAGTAATATTTGAATGTGATTGTTGAGATATCGTTAATGAACTATCATTAGCAAGTATTTCTAATTTTTCAATAAATTTTTTTGCTTTATAAATTACTGTTGATGATCGTAATTTATTTAGATCATTTTTAAGAAGATTAATAAATGTATATAATTCTTCTGTAATATTAAAATTTTCACAATTATTTTGTATACGTATACAAGCATCATGTATTTTATTATATTGTTCTTGTAATAATTGTTCAATTAAACGTTTTGTTTCTTGAATAGTTTTACATTTTATTTCACATGCTACTTTATTTTTTTCTTCTTCCATATATTTATTTGATAATGATGATATAGCAGATTTTAATGTTCTTGGAATAGATTTTATTAAACGTCGATCATGATAATGCATATCACATGAACATTTACTAGGACATACTGTACATCGACCATTATTCATAGCTTTACAATGTTGAAAAATATGTTCACCAATTTGTGTAGTTTCATTTAATGAACATCGTTCATGACAAACTATGTTACAATGTAAACATATTGTATTATGGTATGGTGTTGTAATGATTTCATTTACCTAAAAATATAGAATATTTTCATAGTTTCAATTAGATCTATCGAGCGAAATTTGCTTTTATTCTGTTGATGTAAGATTTTTATCTGATAAGTATAAATTTAACTTCTTACATTGTAAAAATTCTACTAATGAGTGATACGAAAGGTTTTGAACAAAATATTTCTTTATATTTTGACTGATTACGAATGTTAATAGAAAATTTAAAGTATAGAGTTTGAATCAGAATTTCGTGTTCTTTCCGAATATATGTTTGCAATTTGTGTAAGACTCATAGGTTAGAAATTATGAAAGAATCTTTGAAAGATCAGAAAATTAAGTTTTGAATGGAAGCAATTGAAATACCAAATTTGATTATATATAATTTGAAATTGATTGTGTGTTGCTTTTTTATTTTTGTAATAACGGTGTTCGATTAAATTTAATACTATTGTTCTTTTTGCTTGACTGCATCACGTTTCAGAAGTCTCGAAAATATCAACGTATCTTATAGAAACTTCACAGAAAACTAATGATTAGTTGTATTTATCATAAATTTTACTGCTATCTTGAATGGTTTTTTTTGCGCACTGAAACATATTCAAACTTTATTTTCGGACCCTTTCAAAGATTCGCTCATAATTCCTAACTTAAGCCGTTATGACTGAATGATTACGCGATTTGGGATGTATCCAATAGGTACCGTGTTCAAACTTCGGTATCACCAGCCATGGAATGATCCTATGCAAGCCACTAATGGCTGTTTGTCTTGAATAATCCGTCCGGTGGCATGTTGACTAACGAAGGAACCTCTTCAACTGTCCATGTTCCAATTATGATGATTCTTCTTTGTGTCTAGATGCCACATAGTGTTCTAATAAAGACCCTAAAAGGTTTTGGATTCGTATTGAGATTTGATTAAGCTTATCGAATTTTGATCTGAAACTTTACGCATATAGAGTACTCAACTAGACTTGTTTTCATGAAGAAATTGGCAAGTTTCACATAAAATCTCTTCGAAATATGAGACTCTTAAAAAATGCATATTGTATATATTATCCATGGAAAAGAATCCATATTTTAAAAGTCTCATATTCTCGAAGAGATTGTCTTCGAAATTTGTGAATTTTTTTATGGAAACTAATTTAGTTGAGTTCTCTATATACACAAAGTTTCAGATCAATATTGGAAAATATGAGTTTTTTGAAAACCTGGCGTTTCTAAAGAATAGATATATTAAAAACTCGATAGCTTAGTCAAATCTAAATAGGAACCTAAATCTTTTTGGAATATTTCTTAGAACAATATGCAGTAACTATAGGTAACAAAAAAATATTAAAATCGAAAGGAAACATTTGAAGAGGATCCCTTAGAAATTTTGACATACACCTGCTCTCATCGTCAGTCAATGTGTATGGGGATCTCAATAATTCTATGACAGGCCAGTCTTCTGTTCAGAACTACAACTATTATTAGTTGTAGGGAAGATATCGAGCTAATGAATGTTAAAGTAGCTAAAAGACAGGTTTATTCTTCCTTCCTAACCTATAAGTCTCAAATAAATTCCGAATATATATATATGCAGAAAGAGCACAACATTTTTATTCTAACACAATGCTTTAAATTTTTTGCTACCTCCCATCATCGGTCGATCAATGAAGGAACATATTGTCCAGAAATTTTCGCACCATCCATTAACAGACAGTTTTCAAAATATTTCAAATCATTTTTATGATAGTTATAACGAATATTTTAACCCGTGAATGAACGAATATTTCATCAAATCTATTCATGATCTTAACTATTTCTATATTCAGATATATTTACAAGAACAGTTTTTGTTTGTATGCCATTTTCCATTGTATATTTTTCGATATTTTCTGAATAAATATTAGATGCTTGTTCAAGTGCAATTAATTCATCTTCAATTTGTTGTAATTCCATAATCATAAGACGACTTTCATGTAAAACACTTCGAATAATATTTCGATCATTATCAATATCTAATAAAGATTTTGTTGAAATAGGTGTTAATAAAACTAAAGTTTTAATAAAATCATTCAATGTTTGTATTGATATATTCCAATCATGTTGTAAAATTTCATAAGTTTGTTCTGACCATTGATGAGGATCTGATGAAAATGCTGAATTTTGCATATAAAATATAGGTGGATGATTTAAAAATTTAATTGATTCAAAATTAACTGTATATGAATTACAATTAGTTAAAATAAGAATTATATTTGAATAAAATATATCAGGTATACGATCATGAAAACGTTCAAGAACATTTTTAATATTAATTGTTAAACGTGCTTGTGTACCATTTAAAATAAGTACTAATCCTGTAAGATAATCAAATGATTGTATACATTCAAATATTTTATTAAGATTTTCATTATCAGTTAAATAACCACCTGTATCATTAATACCAGGTGTATCAAAAAAATTAAAATAAACTTGTTGAATTTTAAATTGATATTTTGTACATTGACTTGTTTTACAATGTGTTATATCATTTAAATAATTTTCATGATGTTCAGGCATTATTGATGACATATTAGATTTTAAATAACGTGTTGGTATAGCTATTTTAAGATTTGTTAATGAACCATCATAAAATAGATTTGTTAAATAATTAATTAAAGTTGATTTACCTATGAATAATGATACATTTTTTTTTTTTGTTTTGTAAAATTATTTTAAGAAATTAAATTTTTACCGGTGCCTGTTTCTCCAATAATAACTATATTAATTTCTGTTGAAGAATCATCGATAATAGTAGCCATGTTTCTTTTTTTTAGTATGGTTGATTACAATAAAAATTGCAGTGAATGTATGTCTTGTTGGTTATTCATTCAAAGGTTGGAAGGATGTGTTTTTTTTTTATTTCTTTTTCTTTTCTGCAAAACGAAGAATTAATAAATCATGTCGAATCGAAAAAAAAAGAAAAAGGAAGACATACTATCGTCATGAAAAAAGAACAAAAAAAAAACGATTCAATAAAATCCATGACCTTCTTGTTGTACATGAAGATATATTCAGAAGAACATGTGATTCGAAATAGTTTAAATGATATGAGTTGTTTTCAATCAATTTTTATGATTTTTTCCGATCAGGTTCTTTTAATAAGTCCTCGCTACTATATAAAAAAAATTACGAATCTATCTAAAATATGAAGGAGATAAAATCTAAAAGACCGATTTTTACTGTCATCTACTGGTAAAATATATTGTATAAGCGATTTCTTCATTTAAATTTTGAAAATTTGTAGAATTATAGCAAAAAAGTCTGCATTTTTCGTATATGAGACTAATTAGTGTTTTTATTATGATTTTTCTCTCTATATTAAAATGTACAATCAGTGTTCAATTATCTGTTACAAGTAGAGATGTGCGGAATCAAGTTTTTTTTATCCCCATCCCGTTAACAATAAACTCAACTTTGGTCGAAAGTAAAATTCTAAAAGATATTGGTGTATGACTGAAGAAAAGACACACCCATACTCTAATTGCAGGTTACTCAAGCAGACAAAAAAAAACACGTAGCGACGCCATAGAAATTTCGAATGTTTTCGGATGCTAATTGCAGTTTTCCATTGCCATTCAAAAAAAGCGCAGCATGAAAAAGATCATTTTTTATACAGGATAAAATTCTTGATATTTTATATGCTACAAGTTCTTAGCCATTTTAAGAATCTACTTACTGTAAGCATTTCTGACTCACAATTGAGAGCTGCGATTAACATCTTAAAACATTCAAAGTTTTCGTGCGTTTACATGCTCCCTTATATCTATCTAACTAGCATACTTAACTGACTGTGTCATTATCTACCTCACTGCCTATCTATCGATGTACCTACCTATTTAGACTCCTAGACAAAAAATGTTTTTCCTTCGCTTTTTAAATTTGTATTGCATCTCTTGGTTTTCTGATGGATGTTAATTATAGAATATCTTAAGTACTGGATTTCACTATAGTTACGACTAAATAGACTTTGCTTCGACGAAGAATATATATCTTTCTACACTAAGTGAGATCGTTCGCAGATTTCTTTATAATTTCATTATATATATTTTAGATCTGGGAATAGTTTAACTGTTTGGAACTTATTTAGATTTGTGTCATCCACTGTACATTGTCAGTTGATCGTTGAGTCAGTAGTGAAGAGGGTCTAGTAGACGAACAAGCAATGAAATAATTAGGATATCCTAATAGAAATAATAAAATCAAGGAGAAATCTTCAAAGTTACTCATTTATGGTAATGATTAACGGTATTGAAAGACGTACATTCTTCATTGAAGCAAATCATGATGAGTCATATGCTATGCTGAAATAAAGTGCTGAAACCGTTTTTTTGTAATAAATATTTAGTTGATACTCAATGGATGCAATTTAGAAGAAAAGGTATCATGATAATGCACTGCAGGAGTAAAGTGGAAAACACGGTATACGTATCTCGTTTTTATATACAAAAATGATTTCATCAGATAACGTTTAGTGTTATGTCTCTATGGTGTGAATTATGTTATTTAAGTATTATATTCTTAGCCTTTGCTAAGAACAGATTTACTTAATGAACACAATCGAGTTCAATATATAATTTTCAGTTGACTTGAATTTCTTGACTATATCTATAATGATATGTTGGAAGTTCAAATTTCTGTCCCCAATACTTCAACACTAATTTTAGATCGTATTTCACAAGGGAGAAAAGACTTTTGACTAGAAATAAAGCTAACTACCTACCTGCTTACCCTGTCACAGTTAAAAAACTATATCTTGTTTCATTCTGGATATAAATATTTGACTTGGGCAGGTGTAAGTGTTATATTTGCATTGTTGTTTTCTCTTTCCTTCTATCCTCTATTATCACAAACATTAGTAAAAGAGAAAATTTAGCCAAGTACGAGAATAGTAATGTGTATGAGAAAAACTGCCATGTTTATGGTAATAGAAAAAGAAAATAAATCGGAAAAGGAATAAAATAGCATCAAAATGCGACACATTTTGAAAACGTGGTTAGAATCTATCTTCAGCGTATTTGTTATTTTGGAATGTGATGTGGATGTAGATCCTCTCTTCACTCACTTCCACAACTCCACACTCTATTATATATTAGTTCCGTTCTTATCTTAGATGCTATCAAAATTATTACGAACGGTTTCTAAGTTGCGCTTGATGGAGATTGTTTGATGTAGATGACGTCACATCATGAATATATATATATATAGTTTAAAACATACTATTTAATTCATGTATTTGAGATAAATCAAACTTTAGGTTTCAATTGTATATCGTGGCATATAAACGAAGTTCTTTGTACTTATAATTTGAAGTATGTTAAACAAAATTCTCGTCTTTTGTTAGTTATTCGACATTTATGCGGCAAAGCTGTATTCAGATATTTTCATTGATTTTGAATGATGCTTGTATATCTCGATTATACTAATAGTGATGGTCATCGGGAAATTTTATTCTTTACCGGGGCTTACATAGTGCGATAAAGCGCACTACTTTATTATATTTCAAATTGAAATTTTTTTTTTCATTCATTTATTTCTCAAAACGGTACAATCATATTGCAGTGCACTCGTCTACATAAAAAAATTAATTGTGCAAATGAGTTTCATTTTTCATTAAATCCACTTAGCAAGAAAATTTTAATAGATATATAGCAATGACTTTTCTATTTTATCTTGTACAAAATAATAAAGTCGAATACTTTTATTCACTAATAAATTAACAAATTTACTTTATTCATTTTCTATTTGAAGGCACAAAGCTCAAGGAGTACAACGTGCACGTTTCATAATATCAATAAGACGTAGTCTTGTGTGTATAGAATATCAAT